TTTTAAGTGTCTGGTTGATGGAAATCTCAGCATTTTGTGATGAGAAATAGATGGCTCAGAAATTAGGAGTTTCTTGGCTTCTTGGGCCCCATATTGTCCTACGTGGCATTACAGAGAATTTAGTGCAACCACCAGCAATACTCCACGTGGCATGTTGTGTCAGAATGCATACCACCAAAAGCAATTGGGCTGGGCCGCAGGTTTGGATCAACCTGCTTCAATTGTAAGCATGTTTCTAGTACAGTTCAAACTGCGTTTCTTAATTAAGAACATTTTCCTACTTAATTAAGAACATTCAAATTATTGCGGGTAAGAAACTAACTCTACTAACTTTCTAATCATTACCTTTATAAAAAAAAAAAACATTCAAATTATTATTATAAAAAAAAAAAGAGAAAAAAAATTCAACTACTCTCTCTTATGCAACATTGTGTAATTAAGAGTTTTGATCTTTATATTAAAAATTTTGAATTTGAGTTTTAAGATGAAAAAAAAAATATACATCTCTTATTTCATAAATTATTATTTAACGTATTAATATATATATGTATATCGTTTGCATATCAAAAACTCTCATTATCATAATATCATAAGAGGAAAGTTAGATATGCGCAAAGAGGGTCAGCTGAACAGCCTGAACTGTTAAGGATGGAATATTGTCCCCTTGTTATGTCTAAATTTAAGTTTAAGTCTTGATATTAAGAGTTTTTGTGAAGATACATATGTTTATTATTATTTTTTTTTTAACAAATACAAGCATTTGGGGAAGGGGACTGGGGATTCGAAACCAAGACCTATTGCTCGGGTAAAGTGTCCCTTCTCCCATTGGCCTGGAAGGCCAGGAGCAAGATACACATGTTCTTTAATGTCCATAAAATTTTGAGAATTATGCACACAAAAAACAAACACATACAATTAAGAAAGGATCTCTCAGGATTTTGCAGTGCATAAATATGAAAAGAAAGAGAAAAAAAAATATGGTTGGTGGAACTAGATCGATGTGGGATGTTCTCTAACACCAGCAAAGACACCCATTATGTGACAAATGCCACAACATTAGTATTTTAATGTCTGAGAGGCTGCAAGATAGAGATAAGGAAAAGAGTTGTATCAGATTTGGCAACTTTTGAGGTGTGGGTTTTTGTTTGTAAGTTGTTGGATTGATACTTCCTAGGGTATTAACCCCCCCTAAATTACTCTGCATTATTCTCTGTTAATTAAAATCAACACAGTTGACGTCAATTCATTGGCGTGGTTGGCCGTGAAGCTTTCTGTTCTGTAACCACTTGAGCTAAATCTCACACCGCAGATTCTAAATTTACATAGTGTGTGT